CCCGCTCCCCCCCCCAAATATTTAATTTCTGTAAAATTGAACTCTATACTTCTCAACTCTCCAAGACTGGTAAACTCATGCAACTCAATAGAATATTACATTTCACAAAAATCTGAACAAATATCAGCTTGTTGAGATTGAATTTTTTGTTTTGTTTCCAGTTACGGAAGAATATTCTTTCATCATATGCCTATATATTTCTTTCCTTACCCTATCATGATTATGCAGGGTATGCAGATCAAAGCTTTGTTTATCAGCTGGTTATATGAAAGATGAAAACTGTAATATTCCCGTGATCCCAAACGGGCATTCAATAAAGCAAAAGACGAGTTCCCCTCAAAAAAAAAAAAAAAAAAAAAAAAAAAAAAAAAAGAGAGAGAGAAAAGAAAAAGTATGATTTTTCCAGGGCACCTATTAAAAGGACAACAATACTAATAAAAAAATTGTATTTACTTAGAAGCATTCAGAATGTCAACAAAACAGCTGCAACTCTTTTTTTTTTTTCCTTTTTGCAATTACAGAGTGGTATTCAGTTAACAGAACAACAATTATTTTTATGATGCATCAGAGACAACTGAAGATGAGAAATGGCCTACATCCCCACATATAACTAATTTGTGCTGTGCACCAACAAGAACCTGCTTTAAAACTCCCATGCCAATTTACAACCCCCACACTGTACCAGGCAAGGTTAGTGGCCATTGAAATACCACTAAGGACAGGGCTATCTAAAGACACATTCGGTAGTGTGTTAACTATACAAAAAAAGAGACACTGTACAGTTTAAAAACAAATCTTACACAGCCTTACATTTCAATTTTTTTTTTTTCTTTAAAAGGAGTGATTTGTGTACAGGGGGGTTAAATGCTTTATAGACAAGAAAGAAATTGCTCTAAAAGAGACTTATTCGTCATCATCATCATCTTCATCCTCCTCCTCTTCCTCTTCTTCATCATCTTCATCCTCTTCGTCTTCATCCTCATCTTCTTCCTCCTCCTTCTTCTTCTTGCTCTTCTCAGCCTTGGCAACTACTTTTTTGCCTGCATCAACCTTCCCTTTGGCCCGGTATGCAGCAATATCCTTGGGAGGAGAAAAGCAGGAAGAATCTCTCAAAGATTTAACCAGCCAAGAGCTCTGAGCAACCGCCAAGCTCGGTACTTGTCAAACCAGAGCCACCTAGCTATCTGCCCCCTCTCCCCATCCACTGGGGCGGGACCGGGAGCTGCAGCTTCAGTTACAAGGTGAACCAAGGCCCAACGCCAAAGAAAGGGGAGCCCTCTAACACAGAAATGGTACTGGCACGCTGGAACACGCTGCTTATGGCGGCTGAGGAATCTCCGCTGTTAGGCTTACTGGGAAGAGGTTGGAAAAGCTGCTGCCTCAGATGGTGAAAGCACAGCTGAGCCCACTATCCCAGAAGGAAATGAAGTAGGGAGACCTCTTAAGGTCCCTTTCTAGCCCTGCCCTCTATGGCGCCTAAAGAAACGCACAGAAAAATCCTTGTTTGAGGCACAAAATTGTAATTAGCCACCCGAAACACAACAGAACGACATGGCCTAATATTTGCAATGTTACGCCTCAGCGAAGAGCAATTATAGAGAATTCTGCCTAACCGAAGTTTACAAAATAAAAAGTTATAAGGAACTTGATTAAAGGGTAGACAGTGCCACCTTCTGCATGCAATAAATTTATTCTAGTGGTTTATAATACAGAAAATTCAGTTCCTGTTATAGGAAAGTCAAAACTGTACTTGGAAGACTAAGTCAGAAAAACGGTTAGACTTCCCGACTTTGTGCCAAAATAATAAAAACAATTACGTAACAGAATTGATCTACAGGACTGCAACATACCAGCTACAGAGAAATGTCAACACCTGTACACAGATGGTCCAAATCTTCAAATACTCCCCACCCAGTAAACACGATACCTCTGATCTTACAGTTCCCTCAGACTCCCTTAAAGCTTAGCATGAAATTTTCAGAAGATACGATATCCACCGAGTCAAAGGCCAAGCAGAGAAATACTGAGGTGACTCCACCTTACAACCCCACTCGTAAGCCTAAGAAACAAAGACAATACTAGCAAAGATTAAAATACCTGGGAATAAAGATTCTACCATTTATAAAAAGTCTCTTATGAATTGCCTTGGCTGTACGTACAAAAAATTACCATACTGAAGAGTTTAAGTTGCACGGGGAGGACAATATGGGAAAGCTTCTAGACCTGCAGTTCCTCTCCAGCACGTAATTAGAACTCGAAAGAGGCCACCTTGCTCACTACAATGCTACGATTTTAAAGTGGTTTTGTTTGCCAGCAGGAGAAATACCCAGAGGAAGGTCAGGGCACACAAATGGATAAACGTGTGCTATGGGTGGCCGTGCATCCCCTCCTCCCCTGGTTTCCTTGTACGGGGATGGGAATCCGCCTCTGGAAATAAAAACACGTGTAGCTCTGCCCTGTGCGTGCAACATGTTTCTACAGCTCCAACAATGATAACGGGATTTAGCTTTAATAATTCAAGAAATCGTATGACGTGCTGCTTCATATGTATTATTGACCATGTTAATTATTAGAAAGGAGATGGGCACAAACTAGGTACAGGAAAAACGCATCTCTAAAACTTGCATCTCATTAGTGTTCTGACATTATCCCAAGCATAAACTAAAACCAGCATCTACGTGTACCAATTATCTTAATGTTTGGGGATGTTCATCAATACCGACCACCTCCCATACCAGGGACAACCACTTTATTCTTTACTGGTGTTACTTAATGCTACCAACTTAACTCCGATGCTTGCTGTGACCTCCTGTTTTAATAGCAACACAGGCACCATGGTATCTATTAAACCATCACTGCTGGTCCTGAGTTACAGATGAATGCAGATAGTTCAGCACAAAGGCTGGCAATTTAGTGTTACACTAATAAACCCTGTGCTCCCTTACGTGGTATTTTCCAACAAATATCACAACGTTTGTCATTTGCATATTATAATTTGCAACATCAGGTATCAGAGCACATGAGAAGAAACATCTAAATTGAGGCTCGACCTCCCCAAAGCATCTCCATAAATGTTGATGTTACCTTTTCATACTTCTCCTTCAGTTTAGCAGCCTTTTTTTCATAAGGCTGTTTGTCATCTGCAGCGGTGTTGTTCCACATCTCTCCCAGTTTCTTTGCGACGTCCCCAATGGACAGACCAGGATGTTCTCCTTTGATTTTTGGACGAAACTCAGAGCAAAACAAGAAAAAAGCCGAACTACAGAGAAAGGGGGGAAAAAAATTAATTTTAGACTTTACTGTAAGAGAAAGTTTTGTGACCTTTGCTATTGTCTCTTAAGAGCATTTTGGAAAAGCACCTAAAAGCAAGACAAACATTAATTACAATGGAAGATATTAGAACCGAATAAACTGCTTTGAAAACGTAACACATCCTTGCCTCTTAAGAAATGCCACACATCTGGTCCCATTTTTGGCATGACCCCCAGAAGGGCAAATTTTATATACGCTATGCAGAGAACGTCTTAAAAAAGGAGAACGAGCGACTGATGCTGAGGAAGCAAATGTTACATCAGAACTGTTAAAAGGCAGAGAAGCTGCAATATTTGTTATGGAAATTAGGATTTCCAGATGACAGCATCAGCCCCAATAAGAACGTTCACTTCTACAGGAACTTCCCTGTTCCTTTCAGCACTACCTCCATTTAAAACACACACAAAAACGTACTGCTACAAAGTACTAGTGTCTAGTACCAGGTGAACCTGAAGTCAGCAGTCTTTAGGTAGTAGCTGAACTTTTAGTTCTCCGAGTTGATTTTTGTGCAAGATCATCCCCCGCTAACCTGTTCTGTGCAAAAGGCTCTTAGTTTTAAATGGACTGCCAATCAAAAATTCTGCTCAGGCCAACAGGTGGGGAGAGCAGGGCCTGAAATATTTTACTGCCATTTTTCATTAGAATTACCCTCTTAATGGAAACTGGAAACATGAGTCAGAACCGCACGTCACCAATTTTTGCATCCACTTTTAAAGGCTGACGTTATTCCAGCTTAGATAAAGAGCGCCAACCTGAAACCGCAAACCTGTAAACGTAACTAAAATTTCAATCTATCTTTACGCCACCAGTCAGGAAAATCATGTAATCTTCTATTTCTGAAGCTCCCAAACCTGGACAAAATGATCACTTTATAGATACGCTCCAGCATGGTGGTCCCAAACAAGACAAACTAGCTAGAAAACTACTTACGGAGGCCTCTTCGGTGCATTTGGATCCTTGAACTTCTTTTTTGTTTCCCCCTTCGGTGGTACATAGTTTTTCATTTCTTTTTCATAACGAAGCTTGTCAGCCTTTGCCATATCTTCAAACTTCCCTTTCTCCTTAGAAGACATAGTCTGCAAGGCAATTAGAATCACAGAAAATCTCAAGTTGGAAGGGACCCCTAAGGATCAAAGCGGTATTTCAAGATTCAAAAGCATATCCAAGTCCATTCCAAAGTTTCAGTTGGGGGAGCTAAAGGTAAGGCAAGAGCAACAGATTGTTACGACTAACCTTACAACTCTGCTTCGTACTTACCTAAAACTTGAACTTTCAAAGAAATAATTTACAGTCTTAAATAGTACTTCACACAAAGCGATCGTTTAAGGTTCTGTGGGGTTTTTTAAGCGGTTATTCCTACCTTCCATCGTTCTGAGCATTTTTTTGAGAACTCTGAAAAGTTCACTGAAGCATCTGGATGTTTCTTCTTGTGCTCCTCCCGGCAGGTTTGCACAAAGAAGGCGTATGAAGACATTTTACCTCTCGGCTTCTTAGGATCGCCTTTGCCCATTTTTGATGATTTTCTGTAACAAAGCAAAAAAGATGTCTTTAAAACTTTTACTTTTTACAAACCAATGTGGGAAGCAAACCACGGCGAAGGATTGTGCCAAACAAGACCCGCTGGAGCAGTATTCCAAAACTGTACAACAGGAATAAGTTTTGCTTCGTGGAAAATTTACTGAAGATTTCTGCCATTGCTGTTGGAGGTGACCTGGACACAAGCAACCCGAAATCTCAAAGGGCCTTCAAAACGTGCAAAACATCTCCTGCGAACAAAAACTTCCCTGCCAAACAATCTGAAAGCAAGTATTAGCATCAGTGCAGTGGAGACTGCACTTCCTTAATTACTGCTAGTGTATCAATCCTATGTGTGGAAGGAATAAATTACATGGGAAGAAGGAGGGAAAAAGTACCCCAGTATCCCGTCTCAGCTGGCGTTACGGGTTGCTCATTTTTTTCTTCCTAAAGCTCGTATTTCTATTGCCCTCCCCTGTAGGCCTTGGGTGCTCATTTGCAAAAGTTATATATATTTATTATTTTTGTATGCCATAAATTATCACTCTTCTGTAAGTGCACTGCAAACCCCTACTCCCTCTTTGTGTGTATACCTAGAAATACCGGAATGAAACACTGCGCTAGGTCAAACATGTTATAACCAAGCCAGGGACGTGAAAAGTATGGCATTTACATATGACTAGCAGAGCTGTGCTCAGCGCCGAGGACTATCCAACTCTTTCAGGGACTGAGAGGGAATGAAAAATACCTTCCTGGAACTTTCACACCCAAGTCAGAAATTCAGAGTATTTCTTCATAACTCTCTGGAAAAAGCCACTTGCACCCTCACAAACTCTGCTCTTCAGCAGAAATTTAAAAAAAAAAAAAAAAAAAGTTAAAAAAAAAAAGCGCATGCACCGCCTGCCCTGTATTGCCACAGAAGCAGTATTTCCTATCGGTTTGGCGGATAGACAGAAACAGATTTCTGCTCTGTGACTAAACACGTCCGGTTTGAAGTTTCTATCAAGTAAACAAGAGGGCTGAAGAACCAGGAGCCGCTCCTGCCTGCCATGGAGACGTTTCCAGAGCCAGCCGGCACCCGGGACTCGGCCAGGGGCCTG